ATGGACAACTTGGACATTGGCTACCCAAAATGGGGGGCTACAAACGCAAGAAGTGACAGGCTTACAAGCTTTCAAGAGGGAACCTAGATTCAGACGGCCTGGAGGAAGGTAGATTCTCCACTGAGTACTATCCAATCTGTCTAGGCGGAGCTGATGAAATGAAATGCAGATGGGTGTCTTGTGATACAATAGTGAATAATTGTTATCTGGACTGCTTGTGAGGGTTGGAAACGTAAAGGTACACGTTTTGTAGCAAGGAGGGGAGTGATTAACTTTTCAGTCTAGGAACAGAGGTGCCTGGGACCGTCAAGGGGGAAGAGTGGCGAGGAGAGCAGGACCCTACTTAAAGAAGCAGTGATGCCTGAGATGGAGGCAGAGACGATGACGTGGAGAGATGGAGCAGCTGGGGACTTTAGACTCAGAAAGAGAGAGGGGCTGTGTGCTGATAACCTGGGTGGTGGTGGTGGTGGGGGGGCAGGCTTGTAGTGTATACCCTTTGGTTGGTTGATGCTGCATGGAGGGGATTGTAACCATGGCAATGAAATTATATACGATAGGATGAATGTGAAACCAATGTTCTCCCATGTAAACTATCACATAATTCACAATAAAACATTTTTTTAAAAAAGAAGGAAAACAACCAGAATCGTTTTAGAGTTCAGTGAATGAAATTGACTTAAGGATGTAAATGTATCATAGGTTAAAGGGAGCACCTGCTGTCTATCCCCTGGGAAAATTATCATGATTCCATGAATGCAAAGCTGAACCCTGGCTTGACCACTTACTAACTGGGTGACCTATGTGCCTCAGCTTTATCATCTATAATTATAATATTAGTACCCACTGGTATAAGGACTGAAAGTGAGTATGTGGTAAAGGATAAAGGTGAGTATGCCCTAAAGGTGTCTGGTACACAAGAAGCAGTAATGGCTAACTCTAATAGGAGAAAGATGAGGTTTTCTGCTCCCTAAAGATTTACAGCTGACTTGATGACACTTAACAACAGCAACTCTTAAACATTTATTACAATCTAATAATAAAATCAAATTTTAGGGTAATTTCAGTCTATCTAAAGTGAACGTCTATAAAATTTGGGGAAAAAAAAAAGGTACTTAATAATCAATAAAGAGTCCTGGTGTGGTGCTATGGGTTAATGCACTGGAGTGTAAAGTTGGAAGTTCAAGCTCACCAGTCGCTCCTCGGAAATACAGGGACTCTATGGGTCCTAATTGACACGAAAGCACTTAACAACAACATTCATCAATAAGTGGTCGTGGTGATGTGCTGTGGAGTCGGTTCCGACCCATAGCGACCCTGTACAGGGTTTCCGAGGCTGTAAATCTTTACAGGAGCAGAAAGCCTCATCTTTCTCCTGCGGAACAGCTGGTAGTTTCGAACCTCTGACCTTGTGGTTCACAGCCCAATTCGTAACCACTGTGCTACCAAAGCTCCTAAGTGGTTCTCAGTTAATAGCAAGGTACGATCAAGTTCTTCTGGTCTCAGGGTGGTGGAGCTGGGGTTCGAGTAGCCTGTTATTTCATTGGACTAATTGTTTCTGAGTATTTGATTTTTACCAGTCTTCTTTGTTCTTAAAAGGCCTGAAAGGAGCTCAGTGAACTGTGACTCTAAATAAATAGTGAGCATTTAGGCCACAAAACAAGCTTCAAAGAAACACTTTCCAAATCTGCACTTGATCCTGAAGGTGGTGGTTAGTGGTTATGTGCTGTGGAGTCGGTTCCGACTCATAGTGACCCTACACAGGGTTTCCGAGGCTGTAAATCTTTACAGGAGCAGAAAGCCTCATCTTTCTCCTGCGGAACAGCTGGTAGTTTCGAACTGCTGACCTTGAGGTTAGCAGCCCGATTCGTAAACACTACGCTACCAGAGCTCCTTGGTCCTAAAGGTAGGGGTTTTCTAAACAGGGCTCAGCAGTTTAGAACAGTTTGGCAGACACTCACAACACCCTTTGGTAAAAGCTTCACGAAATCTGAATTGTTAATTTCCACTCAATGGGATGTATGTGGTTCTATAGGACTTGGACCACCAATGTGGAGCCTAGAGTAAACTCTGTAGTCGGTTCCCTAGGCCATTTAGGCCAACTCTAAGGGTTGGCTCTACTAGTAGACAAAGCCTGCCGGATTACGGGGCTAAGGCTCCGGAAAAACCCGGCCGTTCTTCCTGCACAGGACACTTCGGGCCTGTACAGGGACCTGGCCATCCCGCGCACAGACCTGACGCTCTTGAGCTTGCAGCTCAAACACCTCTTGCATTCGCAGGAGCTCTTCCTCCAGCCTCGCGCGGAGCTGCTCCAGTTCCCGAGCCTCGCGCTGCAGGGCCTCCGCCTCCCGCGCGCACAGCCGCGTCTCCTCCTCGGCCTCGCGCCGGCTCTCCAAGCCGCGCCGCAGTGCCTCCTCCAACTCGCGCACCTCGTCCTCGTACAGCTGCACCGTCTCTCGCCATGACTCAGCTACCAGGAGCGTATAGCTGTTGTGTACCTCCTGCAGGCGCGGCGGGGGCGCGACGGGGCCGGCGGGACGGGCGCGGTAGCTCAGGGACAGACCGGTGGCGCGCGCGCGGACCTCCCGCACGTTGCGCTCATGGGCCGCATCGAGAGCGCTGCGCTCTGCCTGCAGCCGGCCCAGCAGCGCCTCCAGGGCGGCGCGCGCGCCCAGCGCCTCCTGGAGCTCGCGCCGCTGCGCGCCCAGCTCTGCGTCCAGGCGGCCGCGGACAGCGCGCGCCTCCGCACCAAGCTGCTGCAACTCCCGCAGTTCTCGCCGAAGCGCGTCGCGTTCGCTCTCAGCCAACGTTGTGGCCCAACTCAGCTCTTCCAGCTGCTGCCGCAAAACGCGCGCCTCTTCGGCATAACGAGCCTGGCCCTTTGCCCAAAGGTCCTCCTGACCGTGCCAGCCGCGCAGCTCCTCTTCCAAGAGCAAGTTCTCGCGCTCCAGATCCCTCACCCGGCACATGTAGTAATACAGCCGGTTATTGAGCTCCTGCAGCTCAGCCTTTTCGGGGGTCGTCTGCAGTCGCCAAGGCAGCATCCTGTTGGGTTCGCAGTTCTCGCGACCAGTAGGTTCCTCCTGTCCTGATCTTGTCCCCGCCGCCGCGCCGCTCCCGCCCCGCCGCCGCTCAGGAGTTCCGCACACTTCGGCCGGAGTTGGGGAGTGTCGCATTTAGCAGAGGCAGCGGGCGGGGTAAGTGCGGGCCACGGCCTCCAGCCAATCAGACCCGACACGAAGACAGCGCCCCCTGCCGGACTAACCGCAGCTCGCCGCGCTACAGCCCAGCTCTCCGGCTGGGTGCGGCCAGACCTGGGTGTGGCCAAGCATGGTTCTGGGTTGTAGGTACACAACGGAAGCTCAGGCAGCCGGGCTGAAATCCAGAAGAATTCCAATTGTGGCACCCATGTGTTCTGACATTAATGGTGGGAAGAGAAGCCACCACCAAGTGAGAGATGCTTAGTTGCTGTGATACTTTCATTTACAGGAGACTTCTCACCCAAAGCCCTAGAGATCAGAGGTTTATTGATGTGTGTTTTTTAAAAAATTATATGTACATATGAGGGTAAGTAAAAAAAAAATGTTATAAAATCATATAAACTTTTATTAAACAAAAAGATCAAAATGTGAAGCTATTGTTTCTCAACATACCCGACATCTAGATGTGTACATTTCTGAAAGTGGTGTTTCCATCTCTCTCTAACCCTTCGGGGAAGAATTCTGACCTCTTTGATTTATACCATGTTAAAAAGGCAGTTTGGATATCACCCAGGGACTCTAATTGTGTTCCTTTTCAGTTTTCTTTGCGTTTGGGGAGCAAAAAGAAATCTGAAATAGGAAGATTGGGGGTGTAGGGTGGATGCGCATGGGGTAAGAGTACCCAATGAAATTCTAATAAGTAGAGCCCTTGTTACTCTTGAAAAATGAGCAGTTACATTGCTGTGTGGGGAAAACCAACAAACTAAAAAACACACACACACAAAAAAAAAACCTTTTTCTCATCAATGCAGATTTCAGTTTTCGTAATGCTTCATAATAAACCCTCCTGGTCTTTCATAAAAAACCTGTCAAGAGCCCCTCTTTGGAATCCCAAATAAGACACCATAACCTTGTGAGATAACCTCTCTGCCTTGAAATAAACTGCTCCATCAGACCCTCAAAACCACGATTTTAATTGGACCTTTATTTGGGAAAGTACCCTAAGGAGACGAAGACAAGTGTATTACTGAGAGGTGGACGGCAGCCTGAGATATGTTTAAACAAGTATGAATTAAAACCCTAGCAGCAATACATTTTACTTACTCTGTTATATAATGTGTGTGTGTGTGTGTGTGTGTGTGTGTGTGTGTGTGTGTATACATGGTCTTTAGTGTTTAATGTATGAAATCTGTTCTTCAGATGCTCTCTAAATTCAGGTGGGATATATTCAAGGATATACATATATATATATAAAATGCACATATAGCGTTTATATCTTTTGAGTGTGAGCCACCTGGATTTCCATGTTTTCCTCCTTATACACAATGAAGCACGTTGTGGTGGTGGTGGTTATGTGCCGTGGAGTCGGTTCCAACTCTTAGCGACCCTGTACAGGCTTTCCAAGGCTGTAAATCTTTACAGGAGCAGAAAGCCTCATCTTTCTCCCATGGAAGTGCTGGTAGTTTCGAACTGCTGACGTTGCACGGTTCACAGCCCGATTCGTAACCACTACGCTACCAGAGCTCCTTTTGTTGTTGTTGTTAGGTGCCATCCAGTCGGCACTGAATCATAGCGACCTTATACACAGCAGAACGAAACACTGCCCCATCCTGAGCCAACCTCACTACTATTGCCACGCTTGAGTCCATCAGTGCTGGCCACTTGGCCAGTCCATCTCAGTGGGGTCCTTCCTCTTCTTCTCTGACCCTCCACCTCACCAAACAAGATATCCTTCTCCAGTGACTGGTCCTTCCTGACAATATGTCCGAAGTATGAGAGATGAAGTTTGGCCGTCTTGACCTCCAAGGAGCACTCTGGCTTCACTTCTTCCAATACAGATCTGTTGGTTCTTTTGGCAGCCCGTGGCACTTTCAACATTCTCCTCTAACACCACAACTCAAAGGCATCAATTCTTCTATGGTCTTCCTTATTCACTGTCCAGCTTTCACATGCATATGAGGTTACTGAAATTACAATGCCTTGCATTAGGCGCACCTTAGTCCCGAAGCTGACGTCTTTACTCTTCAACACTTTAAAAAGGTCTTGTGCAACAGGTTTGCCTAATGCAATACATTGTTTGATCTCTTGACTGCTGCTTCCATGAGTGTTGATAGTTGATCCAAGAAGAATGAAGTCCTTGACAATTTCGATCTTTCCTCCATTAATAAGAATGTTGTTTACTGGTCCAGTGGTGAGGATTTTTGTTTTCTTTACATTGAGATGTAATCTACACCGAAGGCTGTGCTCTTTGATCTT